CGCGGTGTGCCGGCGTCTTCAGCCCGCATCCTGCGTGGCCCCACGCGGGCGTGCGTCCAAGACGCACGCGTGGTGTGCCAGCGTCTTCAGCCCGCATCCTGCGTGGCCCCACGCGGGCGTGCGTCCAAGACGCACGCGCGGTGTGCCGGCGTCTTCAGCCCACATCCTGCCTCCAGGGTGGTGGGCTAGACGTGGCCCCACACGCGCGTGCGTCCAGGACGCACGCGCGGTTTGCAGCAGTCTACAATAAAATACGACTCACTTTTCCGCTGTTGTAGGCGATAGAACCGCCTGGGTTGAGTTCCGCGGCCTCGTTAGCGATCGTGTCCAGGTTCTTGTACTCTTCGCCGGTCAACTTGAGCATAAGGATGTGTTCCGCGTAAGGGGGAAGGCCCGAAATCGCCTTGCCCTCCCAGTCGAGGGAACCGAGCGTGCGGCGTACAACATAACCGTCGTATTTTGCGCGAACGTCCACCATCATGGCGTCGACAACCTTCGAGAAGCCGTTCTCCAGGGCGTCGTCCTCGACGCTCAAGCCATGGACGACGCGAGACACCACTTTCATCGCGCTGCCGCTGTGTTTCGCACTGGCGCGATCGTTGCGCATAGCCGTCGCGAGTTGGGAACGCCACTGGTAAAGCTCCTTGTCATGTTGTGGTTCATCGAACGCAGGGATGCCGAGCATGCACCCGATGAACCACAAGTCCTACGGTGAACTCAGTCATTGTCGCGACTTGAGGTCTAGCGACAGGGGAAAACCTAAAAGGAGCTGGGGGCGTTCAACTAAGTCTCACCGAAGCGATGGTGAGCAGTGCTCAAACCTAAGGCTAGGGACAAGAAAGTGTATTAGTTAGTGTAAGGTAAGTAAGAGAATACAGGAGCTTACTGACCTAGGGACAAGAGGTCGAAACTGAGGTCCCTAGGGCAGCAGAGGCCGGCTTATATACATGGGGAGATTTAGGGCAGGCTGTGCACGTTGGTCCGTGCGCAGCTGGTCTGTGCGCAGCATGCCGATGCGGCCCGGGGGCCGTGAGTCAGAGCGGCTGTGTCAGCGGAGCCCGAGCT